AGGGAGGGAGGGAGGGAGGGAGAGGGAGAGAGAGGGAGAGAGAGCTACCAACTTCACTGAACCTACCTCTAGAAGCACTGGAGGTTTTGCTTCGTACAAACATTGAACTCTGAGAGCTTTTGGCGCTGACGTTAACTTGAGTTTTCTCCAGCATGTCAGCCAGAGAATCAGTCTGTGAGAGGACAGAATTCCAGGTCATAATAATAGATGCATTTATATAGCCCACATCCCTTGTATTACAGCTATGCACTTTACAACTATCGTTAACCCAGCAGACCCAGAACACTTCAAAACATTCTCAGCTTCATGGAAAGCATAGTGTACAGGCAGACAATTAAGCCCTCAGACAGTAAGAAACTAGCAATGCCAATCGGGCTTTCCCGTGCGGCGAAAATTTGGTCCCCGTTTGCAGGTGAATTTTAGGACTGAGTCGTAGCGTAGGTAACTAACTTTCTCAACCTCGGTCTGCTCTATTTCTGAATCAATGTGAATGAAACTCGGAAACCAATCAGACAATAGGGCACACTAAGGATATGTGGATGTTGAAGTTCGTACACATAAATTAACCTATACTTTTGGTGTCGGAAACACTTTCGTATTGGGTGTACCGAAAACTATGAGGAGCTTGAATTTCAACGTGAGATGGTAATAGATCTATCTTTCCTCTATAGTGTGCTCAAATTTGAACGTTCTGTGTCAAGCAGTTTAGACCCAATCATAAATGCATGACTACCCCACTATCCAAAGCAGCTTCGTACGGAGACCAGCCATTTTCCCCTCACTCTTGCGGCAAATGTATGTGACCTACAAATCTCCGCATGACTACTCCGAGCCCCTTCATTGGTCACTTGAAATAGGGCAATGGCGGGCGCGCGCATCCGGTTTTTTTCTCTGTTCCTCTGTAACATCGAAATGGGGGTATTTCCGAGGCGAGCTTATCTCACCTCTGGGTTTTTGTGTCTCAATGGGGAAAAAGAATTTTTAATTGTATGGCATGCTAGATTGAATTTAACTTATCTTTTAAGGTTGGCATGGTCTAAAGTCATCAAAGAAAGCTTTGCCATTATTTAGTCATGCAGCCAACATATTCTTAAAGATCACATGTTGTGATACGATGCTATAAATAAAATGGACTCATCCTGTCACCCCTTTTTCGCAAAATCATAATATGTACACCAAAATTTTAATTATAACAAAATAACTACGAAATGGTTAGTAAATCTGACGGCACAAATGATTTCTCCACCTAAAAACACATCGGGTAGCCAAGTTTCTTTCTAACACTCCAATTAATTACTGAGATATCGTCGTTTTTCTTACAGCGTCTGCTACTGCGTGGTCCACTACTGTTTAGGAGTATTTTCCTATGTGTGGGTCATCCATATTTTGCAGACCTTTACAACCCAATAACTTTTTTATTTATGAACCGATTCTTAAAATTCAAGAAGCATAATTCTTAGAATTGAAAATTCTTTCTTAGGTACCAAATAAAAAATGGCTAAAGCGAAAAATTAAATTTTCATTTGCATTGCTAAACAAACTGACAAGTTCTTTCATCCTCTATAGCCCAGTACCCAATCCCACCTGGGAGAAGTGAGGAAAATTGGTATATGGTGCCCTTCCGAAGAAGACAACAACACGCCCCTCATGGGGTCTGAACCCATTACCTTTCAGTTATGAGTATGACAGCCTATACACTAGACCACAGACACAGAAAACCGGCAGCCCTACATTATCACACTTTGTTATAGATGGAGGTCAAAATGATGGAGGAGCAAGTACAGAACTGTCAGAGAGTATGATCATAAAAATATGGAAGATTGTCAATAAGGTTACATTATACTGTTTTCCCCACAACTTCGATATCTTACATTTCCGGTCGCTACTCTTCATGTTTTGTATAGCTCATCTTCACACTTCACATTTCAGGTCGTCAACCTTCACACTTCTCACTTAAGGTCACTTACCTTGGCTTTGAGCCATGCAAGAGTTTTTTCTGAGTTGTACCGATAGACTTGAAGGTCATCGTCAATATCTATGAAAAAGACGAGAAGATAACTACAAAATGAAAGGCTGTACTTCTTTTTAACCGCTCAGTTTTTTTCTTTCTTTACAAAACATACATTTAGGTATAATTTTAAATGGGTAGTGAACATCCTAAATGCATTCTCAGCATTCATTTAGGTATAATTTGAAATGGGTAGTGAACATCCTAGTGGCATTCTCAAAATACTGTCTACTGAAAAACAGTAGACGGCTATGTAAGCTTGGGTCAGCATGTAAATCATCACACAGCTTCTATTTATCTATTACATTTTACATTCACCCCCCTTTATGTCAAAAAGTCGAAAATAATAGATGAATGAAGAGTAAACTGTATCTAAACCTTTCTAATTCATTAAAATAAAACAAAACACGTCAGTTTGATTACTGCCACTCCGCACTGGTAAAAAGCAACGTAAATAAACACAAACAACTAAAAAAAAATCAAAGATGTAAGACCCACAAGATGACGCCCTCTCGAACTGTCCTCGAAAGGTTTTTAAATTTTACTTCGTAAAATATAAACGCTTTTGTTTGATAAACACAAAGCAAAACCTCAACTTTCACATGAGCAGTCAAGTTATAGTATGCAGTGAGTCAATACCATACTGGGTCTCATTCTGCCAGGAAGAAGACCATAAACATCTTACACCCTATCAACACAATTTAGAACATTTAGGAGATGTGCCACTTCCATCCAACATGTCAGGATCAACCCAGGTTACAAAGCATCCCAGAAAAAAATGGAGATATTTGATATCATCCCCCCCTCCCCCCCAACCAAATTGAGGTGTCTTGGGAATTATTACGTTCCTTAGGCCTGTTAGAGTTAAACCCAGAAATAAAACACTTTTCATTTAAGACCAGATGTGCAAGACCCGCGGGGTCTCTCTCTCTCTCTCGTGCGTGTGCGTGTGCGTGTGCGTGTGTGTAAGAGAGAGAGAGAGAAACAGACACATAGAGAGACAGACAGACAGAGAAAGAGAGAGAGAGAGACAAAGAGACAGGGAGAGACATGCAAGTAAATGCACTCATGATTTCAGATGAGAAGAGAAAGAATCACTGTCTAAACCATTTTAGTTTTTAGAGGCCTCTGTCAATACTGAACATCAGAGAGAAGAGCTAACCTTTGCGGTCTGCCACCTGCAAGATGTGGTCCATGCCGGAGCACGTTAGGATTTTGTGACAGTCCGGAAGCTCCTCATCAGTCACTAGCTGCTCCAGACTCATGAACCGATTGGCCTGGGGAATAGAAATGATAAGTAGAGTAAATTTGGTTTTGTGTTAATGAGTCTTACAGCACTTGCGGCACAAATAGGTCATTTAAGTGCCAAAGATAAGAGGTCTGAGATAAGAGTAAAGAGAAGCACATTGTCACAGTCCGGGTCATTTAGTGCTGTGAAATAGTAAGACAGACAGAAACAACTGTAACATAGCGAAAATAAAGAAGTAGGACCTGCCAGTGGCACCCTCCAACCACATGCAAGATTAGTGGTGATGCCAGAGAGTAACACACAGAGAAAAGAACCAGGAGAGATAAGGACGATAGATGTTTGATGGGAAAGAGTGAGCAAACCATATCAGAGCAACTGCTAACCACCAACAGTGTAGAGTTTGGTACAGGCTTTACACCATTTATGGCATGATAATATCCCTATCACATTTGTAAAATAGTAAGATATCCCTCACATCTTTCTTGATTCCAAACGTATAGAAAATGTCTCTTCTCTGGAGCACATCAAGGAAGTCGAAAGCTGAAGGGAGGGATGCAGTACTTCAGCAAACCACTGCTAAAATTTGACACTTGATTTTTATTGTCAGACAATTAGGTTTTCTTTTCTCTGCCATCATGAAAAATATACAGCATCGATAAAACCATATCAGGATGGATAGTACATGCACCTTGTTCAATGTTGAAGCAAGATATAGAAAGAGAATAATGCCAGTAAGCCTTACGAATAAAAAAGAATTGTTCTTGCGTCAGATCACAATCGTCATGACGATGTAATCAACATTGGTCAGAGACAGAATATGCCACACATGTCTCATGTGTAGTCACTTTCCGATCCATACCTTCACTTTCAAACAAGCACATACACACACACAAATATCACAATTCCCACACTGCATGGCCCAAAGCAATGCCACACTGTCTTCAATCACGGCCCACAATCTAGCACTCACTCACATGACTAGATTTAAGTTAATTTAACACCTTGCTCACACGACAAGTAGCACGCAATGATGCATCTCGAGTCTCGATACCATCATCATCATCATTGCCTTTCTCACCCTGCACCAGGGTATAGGCCACGAACAAACACCTTCCACCTTTCTCTATCCTGGGCTAGCCTCTTGATGTTATTCCATGTCTTCCCACTTTTCTGTCCTGCTGATGCAGAAGCTCCTCCGTCTCCCAAGATCGAAAAATAAAAAACTGTGTTTGTCCGTGTTTCTGTAACTTACTGTTTTTTACTGGGTTGGGTAGTTGGCCCCTCCGCAAACTGGCACTTTTCGGGCAACCAGACCTATGCACTTTTAGTCGCCTCTTATGACACGCAGTAAAACACATAGTAAATCTCTGGGCCCCCCACCAGCAGAGGACTCTCCATACCAGCAGTGTGTGTATCTACGCTGTGCAAGGACAAGCCTGGTGGGCTAATGTAACTCGATACTCTCAACAATGATGAGTGTTTATTTTTAATCCTGCACACAGAGTGATTTGAATTTAAGGCAAAAAGAAAAAATTGTGATTTGGCTTTTTGAGATGAGCTGTTTGACACATCTGTGCAGGGATTCAAGAAAACAGTGCTGCCAAAACAAGTATAATCAGGCGCGGTTCGTCCATAGAGCACGGTCGTGCAGTGCCGCCCACATTTTTTTAATGATCTATTACGTAAAACACCCACAATAATAAAATAAAAGAAGCCAGAAACAAATACTATCCAAATATTAGATTCTATATCAAAATAAGGTCTTCACTGGCGCTATAACTGTCATTTCTGTGTCTATAGCGCCGTAAAACATCTACCATGCCATGCCAAAGTCCACGCGCTCTAGGTAAACATAATAGGATATTCAACAGTGTAACCTGACCTATAAATCGCTCTTGGGGTTAACTCAAGCGATGACGACACTCGTAGCGAGTTTGGCGGTACATTAATATTAATAAGACGGCACATCACAAATGTGCTCCTGCGGAACACTGCCGAAACATAGCCCTCAGTAGGCAGTCTAAAAATAAACGCGATAGACCGGACGCTATTCTTTGCCAATATTATGTGAGCCCCGGAGCAATCCAGTTGAGTGCTCAAGTGAATTGTGATTGGTTCATTGTCTGTCTTGCCGCTATTTTAAGTGACTCTGTGACCGTGAACCTCAGGGAGGTGAACGTGACCGTCCTATGAGTTGTGCCTTTGAATGGTTTTGTAGTGGAGTGGTGAAAGTAGTTACTTGAAAGTTCAGTTCCAATACAGGATGAACGAAATTGATGTTTAGCTAACAAACAAATTTAGTAATAGAAATCAAAGCGACAAATAAAAAGAATGAAAATAAAAGCACGAGGTCCTCCCTCACCAACCCAAAGATCCTAAAATTATACACCATCTCATTTACTATGCCCTTGACTGTCTTCCACGTCCACTTTTTAGCCCCACGAGCCGCCCCTGAGTATAATATAGCGGATCAGTTGGAGAATGGCATTTTGTTCGAGTTATCTATACTCGACTGTATGTCTTACGAGTGGTTGGTTGGAGGGCGCCATTGATTGGTCTTACTTTTCTTTCTCTTTTATTTCTGTCTGTCTATTTCCCTGCACTATAATATGACTGTTGTCATGGTCCTCTCTCAGTGCTTCCAACAGCTGAAGATGAAAAGTAAGGAAAATTCTTAAATTTAGTGCTTTTAGAGGGTTAAAAAATGGCATTTGGAAGCCTGTTTGAAGAGAATACCAACAACCCATAAAACATTTTTTTCATCAAGATTATTGCTCAAACTCAAAGTAGAGTAATAACTTGAATGGCTCAAGTAGACCTATCAGTGTGAGAGTTGTAAGAACTGAAGGAGGGCAAGATCAGTGATACTGAAAATCTGCCAATCTCGAACAGAAAGCTAAAATATTATACTAATAATTTATTATCACTATCACCCATCTAATGAAACGAAAAACACTTTAGTTCAATAACAAGGCTTATAAGGTATCGTGGATCCTGATTCCACACAAGGCCTGCACCGAAGTGTACTTTGCAGAGAGCTCTAATCAAAATTCTAAAACCTGTAATCAGGTTGCCTTCAGTGCTGTAGCATGTGATGCGAACGTGCACACATTCACTGACTGGTCACGATGAAGAGCCCGACAAGCTGAAAATCGGACAACGCTTGTATCTTTTTTTCTTTTCTTGATTTATTTGCGTGGTGACAAAGCGTTTACAATGCACGACCTGTATGTAACAAATGTTGCAATATCAGACTATCACCTGCAAATTTCAAGGTGGTAACAAAAGCGAAATCCCGATCGAATCTCAGTACGTGAAACATACTCTCGGACCGGGAAAAGCCGAATGAACATCACAATCGCGACAGGCAAAAATGAATTTACTGACCTATCCGATTTGGTTTTCAAAATTCGAGAACTTTTTGTATTTTCCCAGGTCTTTCCGGGGCAGTTCACAGATTTCCCCAAACTCCTGGGTCTGGCAGGTTCCTAAACACAGAGATGCCTTCCACAGAAAACCGAAATGAGTATTGGGAAATATGAAACTGTGTATTTTCAGGGGAAAATGTGAGAGCTCTAATCAAAATTCTGAAATTTGCCTCCAAGTTTTTGTCCTCTGGGTGTTTCCTTCACGCCTCCTCCCCCCGAGTGTATTTTTTTAAAATCAATAATCCCCTCCCGTAGTCCTATACTTGGCAACGCCATTACTCCCACCAAACACGGTCTTTGCTCACACGATTCCGCATTTATTTGTGATGCGAATGCGCGCAGGTTCATTGACCGGTCACGATGGCAAGCCCGACAATCTAAAAATCGGACGACGCTTGTACTTTCTTTTCTTTTTTTCCTACAAGTGACAGCACAGAGAAGAGTTCGAGAAATTTTATTTGCACAGCAACACAGCGTTTACACTGCACAACCTGCATGTCACAAATAAGTTGCGTTATCAGTCTACCGCAGGCAAACTTCTCGGTGGTCACAGAAGCGAAAGTAGATCTTGATTTTCCCGATCAAGCCTCAGTGTCACATACACTTCCGCCTGCCGCCATAGCCGCCTGCCACCATAGCCGCCTGTTCACGTGAAAGTGAAACATACTCTCGGAGGAGGAAAAGCTAAACGAATATAATATCACAATCGCGACCGGCAAAAATGAACTTACTGACCTTATCGGACTTGGTTTTCAAATATTCCAGTTCCGCGATACTGATACTATTTTGACAAAAGAGGGGACTTGAGACAATTAGGTTTACTCGCCCAAACTGGATCTTGTATTTTTCGCATTCCAGGATGCGTATTTTTACATGAAAAGTCATATTCGCTTATTTTCGGCAAAAAAACGCACTAAAATACGTAAAATCGTACTGGTTGGCATCTCTGTAAACACTAACCTATTGCCGACAGAATTACCATGCCGTAAATTACTTTTATACCAGACGATACGAAGGTAAGTACGGATCTTTTGCCCCGGAATCTTTGTAGCCCTACGCTATAGCACTTTTTTAAGGATGGAGTTGATTATGATGGGGGAGCAAGTACAGAACTGTCAGAAAGTATGGATTTCCATAAAAATATGGAAGATTGGAAGCACTGCTCTCTTTCCTCAAACAATCCTCTCAAAATCATCAGTCGTGAACTGAAATTTCCTCCCAAAAGACATTACAGTGTAGAATATATTAGGAAAATTAAACAACTGACCTTTCCGCCAGCGTTGATCAAGTAAGGCAGGACCAGAAACAAAGGGTCAACAGGCGTGGCAAAGTAAATCTGGTTACCTGGGACAGAAAGGGTGAACTATAAATATAAAACAAATATATATAGTTACCAGACCTGCCAACCACTCCACGACCAAAAACAGGAGTTTTCTTCAGAATCCTCTACAAATAGGAGTTGGAAAAACAATCGAAGTCACCAGAACCCCACAGGATTAAGATTATGTAACAAACTGATTGTGACCAAATAATGTGTGCTAAATACAGGCAAATAAATATGTGGGTTTTTTTTTGTCATTTATGATAAGTCGGGGAAAATAATACAAATGACCTTAAATAAAAATGTTTCACATAACGTAATGACAAGTTGCATATGACCTGACAGAAATTGGAATTCAAGAAAAAATTTGATTTCTTGGTAACCCTATTCAGGTTCTTCAACAAGCAAAAAAAAAATTAAATTGGAGAGCTCTAAGAGTACTTGCCCTGGCCCGTCTGGATGACCCACAGTGAAACACAAAAAAAGCTGTCAATTCGTAACCAACCTCGACAGCATAAAAAGAAATAGAGAATTCTAAAGAGGAACTCCATCATAAAAAGACATATTGTTCTATAAAATAATTCAATTATCAGACAATAATGATAACAGCAACAATGACAATGATTATGTTAACTGAAAAAAATAAACCGAGAGAGCTTGTGGAAAACAGGAAAATTAAAAGTAGGCCTACCTGTTTTATGAAGATTTCAGGAAAGCATATTTCTTAACACTTTGAGCCCGAGCCTAGCCCCAATTCCAGTAAACCTAAGAGACCTGTATGCCAAAGCTCCTTTGGATCAATTAAAGATTTATAGATTTATTAACACTGACTATTGCAAGCTAAGTTGTTCATTCAATGTGCAGATACATGTCTGTGGGGTTAAGATCTGTTACAGATTCAGATAGCCATGGACAAAAAAGAAATGATGTCACCGGCATACCAATTGTGTTCTCATGATGCAGTAAAAGATCAAGACAATTGTGAACATAGCTGCACTAAACACAATAATTAGGGATAATCCCAGATAGCAGTCACATACTGAAAACATTTGCAATTCCTAATTACAGTACAAAATGATCTTTAAGTTCATTTAAATAATCCTTTCCAGACTTAAATGTGACCTTAAACCATCAGGTGAAATGCAATCATTCTCTCGAGTCAAATATTATTTAACTTACCACTGTGTACAGTTTCCCCTATGAACCAAGAATGAAACTTTTCATCAAAACTGTTCAGTTCACAGACGCTTCGACAGTCTCCAGAGACAAGGAACAAAACTCCGGCACCTGTGGGTACGAAAATATCAGCAAGATAAGAACTTTGTACAGACAGCAAGTCTACTATGATAATCATGACAATAAATCACAAAACCAAAATATTTTAAAAGTAGACAAATACAAATCCCACTTTGTTGGACAGCGTTTAACCAAGATATCAAACCAGAAAAATTAATCATTCAAACAGCTCTCAATTAGTCTTCCCCAGCTGTTAATTTAGGCAAATAAATACCCATTACATGTGCTGCAGAGCTGCCACTGACTGCATGTTTTATTTCACTCAAAGTTCACTCTACTCTTAACCTCCAAATTAGAGTGGTCTACAGTACATCAAAGAACAGTCTTCCTGGTTTGAGTAAAAAGGCACATCAACACAATAACCTTCGTTTAGTATTGGGATATAGTAAGACATACAGACGGAAACAGCAGAGGGAAAGAAAAAACGTAGGACATACCAATGGCACCCTCCAACCACCTGTCTTCCACGAAACCATCTGCAGCAAGTAATAACATTCTGCAAAAAAAATCCCCCAACTACCTCCCAAGGTGCCAGTTCTCCAACTCAAAAAAAAAAAAAAAAATTCCATCCATGATTCCATCAGTCTTTGAAAGTAAAGAGTCCCTGAAGTAAAGCTTCCAACTAAGCCATGCCTAAATGGGGGATCCAAATGTGAGACACATTCACTGAGGATCTGGAGGCCCTTGACAGCAACCCAGCTGGGGGATCAGACCCAGAGGCCAAAGCTTAGAAAATAGCCTTCACATTCACTGTACGGGTGAGCCATTAATTTTCATTTTTAAAAAATTTTTCAGACCCCGTTATCCTTTTTACAACAATATCAAATATGTTAAAGAAAGCCGGTGTTCACTGAAAAAGTACACTAAGCTTGTACACAAAAGAAATTATGGAAAAGAACATTTGGGGGAAACAACGAAGACAAGCTAGGAATAGAAAGGTACTGGGACTGAACAAGATATTTTTCCATTAAATTTGGAACCTTTGATAGCCAAAAGCCTCCGAAGATGTGGTGCGAGTTAAAACTAAAGAAGAGAGAATCAGTGATTGCAGTCAGGTAGATGGGCCGGAGTGAAGAATTAAGTACGGGGTGATCCAAAAAAAACCCTACAACTTTTTTTCTAAATATCTCGCACAAAATTAGTACTAGAATGTTGTAATTTGGAACAGATATTTTATAATTTATTCAAAAGGAATTTGTTTGACATAAAATTCAAAAAGAAGAAACGTATTTTCGATTACGGAAATTGGCGTTTATAAAAACCACCTCGTGGAAAATGCACCAATTTAAAAGATCTTGTAAGGACAGTCATGAAATGATTGGTTTGTTTTTTTTTCCTTTCCTTTTATTTTTAAAATCTAGTCTTTCCATCCCTGTAACCTTTAAACAGTATTTCTTGTCTCCTACAAAGTTAAAAAAATATTGTTTAAGTTCTGGAATTCTGAGAACCAATTGTCTATAATATTATGTCCTCCTTTGGACTCGACACATTTTAACATGTCGTTCGTAATGTTCAGTGGTGCCAAACACAAGGATACACTCAACCATGAGTACTCAAAGCCACACACACAGTACACCTTAGAGTATGGAGCTGTTTCTAGAGACAATATAAGGGGAAGGGAAGGGGGGGGGGGGGTAAATTGCCCAAATAGACAGCATTTGTCGAGTTGGTATAACCTGAAAGGTGAATATGGGCTTTGTCAGGGAACAAAATGTCATAGAGGAAATGTTTACGCTTTTCAGGACGATCAAGGAATCATGAACACATTGCTGTCCTCTGATATCTTCGCGAACGGGAAAATGGTACAGTATCTATGAAGATCTGCCTTGAGAATGCGGACCATTGAGATGTAGGAAAGTCATTGCTGCAGACATCGTCTACGGACAGACGTCATGGGGGCTCATCAACTGAATTCTGCACCCAGGTGACACTTAAAGGGGTGCGAACTGTGTTTGACCAGAAGTGGTCGTTTTGTCTGGGAATTTTTACGAAATGAGTTGGTGGTGAGGAAATGTTCAATACAAAAAGCTCTCTGCTCCATATTAATCTTAGCCATGATCTCAGCAGGCAAAGGACACTTGAGAGAAACTATCTACAAACTTCTGCTGGCCTGTTAAACTACTGTAGTTTGCAATATGGCACAATCGTTGGGATTTAAGTAGTAGGCCTAATGCGAACTAGTGCGTCATGCTACAAAAATGGGGACATAGCTGAAAATGGGTTGTATTTTTCCGTGCTAAGTAGAGCAAAACTATTCTGTGGATTTATCTAAAATGAGTATCAGACAAATCCCTTTTAACTTCCAAATGTTGTGTACAAATTTGAAACGCAAAACTAAGTGTGGAGGAAAATATAAATTTAAAAAGTCGTAGAGTTTTGTTGGGTTTTTTTATCATCCTGTACATGAACAACTCTAGCACTCAAAAGTCACCACGCCCCATACCTATACGAGGATGTCGCAGCTTGCAGATGGAGGGCTGACAGTCTGGCTCCTGAGGACCTTCACCAATCACTTCATCTGACAAAAAAAACAAAACATGATGGAAATCACAGCCTACCCTCTAGAATAGCTTTTAAGAAGACAAGAGTCGAAAAGGTTCTAATTAATCAAGCAATAGGCAATACATGATGGCAACTATAAAATAAGTTTACAAACATTGTGAGTATGTTGACCTAATAAACATGTCTTACAAGTTCTTCTTATTCTGATTTGTACCACAGCCAACCACTGTAAGCGAACATGAAATCATCTCTGAATGTCAGTTCCACAATTCATTCTAGCATCTGAACAAGCAGAACAAGCAATTAAAAAAATGTTTATGTTTACTTTCACCAGCCTATCCCAAAAGTCTATTGCAACGTTATATCAACAGAAGCAATTTAAAACTTTTTAAAAAAGGCTTTTCTCATAACCTCTGTGCTTATCAAGAATAATTTACAATCATACCTCAGTGAAAGCCAAAACTGTTTTCAGGTTCCATAGCTCACCTAGTCATCACAACATCACCTGTCCTGCACTTAGCAATCATTCACTATGAGCTAAAAAATCTGTACCATTTTTGCAATGTAATTTTGATATGATGCAGCTATGGAAAAGGCTGTTATAATAAAATCACAACTAGTGAGCGGCACAGACTTGAAATATTCAGCAAGGAAAATCTGCGTATGGTAAATAAGTATTTCATAAATTTGGTTGAACTGTCACCTCAAGTCTTGTAAAACATAGTGTACCATTTCAATGCATGTACCCTGGCCGGGAATTAATACCCATCTCAATCCGAACTTCAGCCAAGGAATTTACTTTACTTGGTGCAGAGTATTATTTCCACTGCAACGACAGACATTTTACAGTACTTTACTATGACTAAAAATTGTTGTCTCCAATGAATTTATTTATAGGGGGCATTTCAATCATAGAACTGAATAGAAATCAATTAAAGACAAATCTTCATCCACTGCTAGTTTCCTCAATCTATGAAGCCCACAGAAACGAAATTCAGGTAACACAGGGATAAATACTATTAAAAGACCTGAGCCCAAGTTAGCAACAAATAGCAACACTCCCAAGATGCACACCTTTGGTTATGAAGACCCATCGATTTTGCGTCTTTGTCGATGATGTTGCAGAAGATGACTTCTTGGAGCTCGCAGTATTGCTCCCTTGACGAGTTGGTTTAGGCATCTTCGTAACTTGTAGGGGAAGTTGTTAATCTGGTCTGAATGGAACTACACATCATTTGCAAGAGAACATTTCAAAAGTCAGGGTGGTGGGAAAAATTGAGAAGCAAACACTACGAATAATATATATCATGTACAAATAAAATCGGGCACAGCTGATCAACCAGGAAGGGAAAATTTAGGTACTTTTTCGGTAGTTCCCACCCCCCTTATTTGAGCATGACCTACTTCTAGATCAAGATCTATACGTTTGATTCGCGGTGAGCTAAGATATCAAACCTAACAACAGCAAAACAATAAATTGTGGTAAAATTCAGGGGGGCATGCCCCCCTGAAACCCCCCTTCCTATTTGTGTTAGGTCAGGGGGGCAAGCCCCCCTGAAATCCCCCTACTCTTGGGGCCAAAACCCGTGAATAACAATTGCGGGGTGGGAACTACCGAAAAAGCGCCAAAATTTATAATTTAACTGCCCATTGAGTAATAATTTACCCACTCTCATGTAAAATCTATAATATGTAGATATATCATCACATTCGCTATAGATCTAAATCTCGATGAAACGGTACAATGTTTGCCCCTGGCCCTAACAGGATCTACTAAGTCTAGATCTAGATCTAATCTAGTAAAGAATCTTTGATGTCAGTGACAAAGTTATTAAAAATAGAAAAGCAGCATATTGTAAACCGCTATTACCAAATCGTCAGAAATGTAATTCCGTTTATATAATTATAGATGCATTATCAACATGTTTCAGGAATACTGATAATCCTCTGATGTCTGATATCATGTGGGATGAGACCAAAAAAAAAACATTGTTTAAGTGTGATGTTATGACCAATTGAAGATGAAATGACAATGTTACAAGGTAGCAGATTAATGACTGAACAAAAAGAAGAGACAAAAGCAATAGTACAAAAGTATTCATTAAAGTTTCAATAAATAAAAGAATAGATTCTAAAGGGTGGTGGATCTAGTCAACTCGAGAGGGAACCCCAAAATAAGACAACAAAAATAGATGGTGGAACCACGGCATCTATTCTAGATATCTATACTAGATCTAGTCTAGATCTAGGCTAACATCAAGACGATTCAAGAGGCTGGCCCGCTAGAGAGTAGAGAGAGGTGCAGGAGGGTGAGAGAGGCAGTGATGATGATGAGTACTTTCAGATTTCAGTTTTAATTCACAATCTGAAAATACTTGGGGAATGAGATTGTTTACCAGGTGTGCCAGTTGCAGTTGTAGGCCAAGTGCTAGAGTTAGTGTCGACTTAAATGAAGTTGAAGAAGTAGGCTGGGCCTAGAGGCCAGGAGGCAGCTGCTAGTGATGGGCAGGTATCGATACCATGTACTCGACACTTAGATACCTATAGTTATCGTTATCGGTACCGATACCTGCTCTAAACATCGATACCAATGTGTTATTTATCCCAGGGCTGCCAAAGCAAGTGACTTGGGCCTTGAGAATTTTTTGTTTATCAAAACTGATAAGTTTTCGTAGGGGGCAAGCGTTTTAAATTATTCTAGTGATTTTTTAACAAAAAGAGAGAAGTTTTTCATGAAATGTATCTAGTGATTTTGCAAAATCTTCACTGACAACCCTGATTTATCCTCATTGGTTTAATTTAAGGTTGCTAAAAATCTGGTAAATTCAATTGCCTTTTTAGAACTCTTGTGTTTTTATTTTCCAATACTAACATTTTCTGCAAAGTTGACTTTCCTCCCATACTTCACTTAATTTTTGTTTTCATTCTCATATTTGCTCTCTCTCTCTCTCTCTCTCTCTTTTACAAATAATTTTTGTTTGAGTCTCAGCTAAATAGTCACAACTTGTCTAGACACGATTACCTAAATACTTCTAAAAGTATAGTTGTATTTTTGTCTTTACTAATTACCCCCGGCGTATGTTACCAATAGCATTAGGTATCGAGGTATCGGTATCGATACCTTGAAAAGTACTGGGTATCGACATCGATACCTAAATTGTGGTATCGGCCCATCACTAGCAGCTGCAGCAGTTTTCCGCCGCAGCTCTGTACTCCAGATTTTTTCGATGATAAATAGCCAAACTAAATGCTGATACAAAACGGTTTGAGAATCTGGCCATCGTAAACTTTATCGTTTTTGTTGTGTTGTTGTGGATGTTTTTGCTTATTTTTGTGAATTGGGGGGGGGGGGGGGTGAGAACAAGCCAAACAATTTTCAAGCTTCATGTGTACAAGAGTCACGTCGTAAAATAGAGGACCATTAGATCTACTATTATTTCAAATTATCCTTAGGATATATGGTCTTGTGAAAAGAATGAAGATGCTGTATAGCCTAAAAACAATTTATTATTTTTTTAGTACAGAGTCTCAACAAACCATGTCACAGTCAAGATACATTTTCAATACATTATTGACTCTTCGTTCCATTTAGAGTATTGCAGTAGACTACCTATTATGCCGAAAGTCCTACTCAAAAATGCCATTTAAATCGCAAATTGTCCATCTTATTGTCTTCATTCCTGAACCATATTCCCTAAACCCCAACTTTCAAGGTGGTGGAAAGATGATTGTTTAGCACCATGCCAACCTCCCCTCCCCTCCCCTCCCCTCCCCATTCATAAAATCAGCCTTTACTTTCAATTATGCTGTTCAATCTGGATTCCTCTAACAAGAAAATCTCCCGCCAAATTAATAACCGGAAACAGCTGAGCTGGTCTGATATAATGGATAAACGGATAAACCCGAATAAACCGAATACACAAACAAAAACCGAAAGTAGGATAATTATTTAAAAATTATTATAACTGGCTGACAGACAGTTGAATTCCTCCAACTCCCCCCTTTCTGTCTGTCTGTCTGTCTGTCTGTCTGTCTGTCTGTCTGTCTGTCTGTCTCTCTCTCTCTCTCTCTCTCTCTCTCTCTCTCTCTCTCTCTCTCTCTCTCTCTCTCTCTCTCTCTCTCTCTCTCTCTCTCTCTCGTTTGGTGTTTTTATTCTAAACGTTTGATGTTTTTCCTTCTAAACTCCTGTCTACCCCAGAGTGAGAAGAGAGAGAAAGAGAGAGGGGGGGAGCTGGGGGAGGGAGAGCGAGCAGAGAGAGGGGGTAGAGAGACAGACAGAACAGGAAGAGATTTGCAAAGATAGGCCCCAAAAACAACCCCGAACTGCCAGGCGGTTAGAACCTCAGCTGCTTAATGGTATTGAGGGTTATATCTTGAAAGGTTGAGGAAGAATTATTTATTGATTCTATATAGGCCTGTATTATTTTTAATTTTATTATGTTGGCTGAAAAACAACTGCGTGCACTTTTTTAGGGGTGGGGGGGGGGGGGGTGGGATCTTTATGTTATGCATTATACACTATTGAAAAAACAACAATAGGAGTTAGAGATGTAATATTATACATGTCAGCCATATATGCATAAACGATTTAGAAGAAAAACTTTTCCATGGTTCTTTTTTCTGTCTGTTTTTATTTTGTTTTTTCTGGGGGGTTTCTTTATTATCCTTATCATTATCATTACTGTTATTGTCATTACTATTTTTTAATATTATTTTTGTTGCTGTAGCTGTAAAAATATCATTATTATCATCAACATAATATTGTTGTTATTGTTGTTGTTTTGGTTTTTTGTTGTTATGGTTATGGTTACCATACATGATTATTATTGTTACTATTATCCTCCTCATCATTATCATCATTATTATTATAATTATATTATTTTTATTATTACTTTTATCATCATCATCTTCATCATCTTCATCATCATCATCATTATCA